CTGGTGACTGGTGTAAGTCTGATACCTGTCCAGTAGTTTAAGTCTGCTTCTCAACCTTGGTCCAAAATAGTCCAGGCCTGCTGACCTTGCCAGCAAAGCCTCTACTCCTAAGCCCAGTGTCCTGCCTGTGCCTGTGAGCCAGGAGGCAAGGGGTGGGGCAGAGCACCTCCCAGACCCCTCCCCAAGCTATGGTCTTCACAGCTGGAGGGGCCAGCGCTGTGGGGACTTCCCCTCCCCCTTTTCTGCTGCCCCTGGCTGCCTGGCTGGGGCTCCCCATGAGTCGCTGCCTCTCAGCAGTGTAGGGGGAAATAGAGTTCCCAGCCATGCCCCCCCTCTCCCTGCCCCAGCTGGGGTCTTTACAGCTGGGGTGGGGGGGCATGTGGCAGGGGCTTTCCCTTATATTGCCCAGGGCCCAGTTGAAGACCCTAGCTGTGCAGACCCCAGTTCTGTCTGGGGGAACTAGGTCCGTAAGGTGGGGGCCTCCGCTTTTCCCCCTCCCTCACTGCTGTGGCAGGGCTGGGGAGAGATTCTGTGCTGGCTCCCCCTTCCTACGGCTGACAGCAGTGGGTTGGGGCTGTGCACCAGACCAGTCGAGGATGGTACCTGCTTGGCTGGGCTCAGCTGCCCTGCGCAGTGTCTGGCACTCTGGGAGGTACACAGGAGCACCCCACACCTCCTGGTCTTGGCCAGTGCAGGCATCTCCCTGCCTCCCCCCACAAAGGGCAAACATGTTCCGTTTGCTCACAGTTCGATCTACACAGCCTAGAGAAACATGCGTAGATTGGATCGCTTCTGCCTCCGGTTTTTTGAATGTCTATATACTTAGCCCAGAAGTGCAGAGAAACCAAAGTAAAACCACATGCATTAAAGAGCCATTCTTGTTTCCAGTTAAGGTGACATTGCTTTTCTCTTCTACCCCCCACCTAAAGAGAATCCTTTACAGTGCAGTCACCAAAATGTCTTTTTTTGTCATCTTCAGATAGAGAAGTGCTCAGTGGAGCACTTTCTATCCATTCGTTGGCAGGCGTTCTTCATTTTCTGTCAGCTTTCTAGTACTGACAACCATCACTGCCTGATACAATCAAAGACTAGGCAGTGGAAAGCTGCCACAAACAACACTCCAGCTTTGTAGCCATCGTTACTAATCAGCTCTCAAAAAGCCCTTGAATAAGATGATTGAAAAAAATATTGCTTGAATATTTCTGTAGATTTTTAAGCCCTTTGATTGTGTATATTGAGAGCCGTGATCTGTGTAAATAACCTTCCTCTGTTTTAACTCCCCCACCCGTTTGGAATCTCCTGTGTGATAAATAGCAAGGCTACTGCTCAGCATGTACCAACACCTGGGAATAATCAAGCAAAAATAACAGTGAGAAACTGCAGAGTGTCTGTTCTTGACATTAACTTTCCTCAGTTTGACAGACTGCCACCACCAGATGTTAGACTTACATGCCTTTTTTCCACTGGAGATGGTTGCCTTCCTGCTTCTCTCTTTGCCTCTAATAGCTTACATCAGTGCCCTTTTGAGAATTCATAAAAAACAATTGTGATACCACAGTGATGATCACTGAGAACTACCACTTTGCTATGCTGCCTTTATGATGATCAAACAAGAAGGGATAATTTAAAAAAAATTGGAAACCAGAGCAATATTTAGGTTCTACACGTTTTTATTATAAGCAAGGAAATGTTTGCGCTGGCAGAGAATCTAAGAACAGTCAAAAAATCATCTCTCTCTCTACAAGTGATTTTTTTATATTGATTCCACAGTACAGCAGTTCCTTTTTTTTCTATAATATTCATGTTCTAGCCTTTTTAACCCAGTTCCTCGTGGCTGTAGTGTTCTGGTTGAGGTGTATTTTTAGTAAGTAAGAAAATTTGGACATTTATCAGCGAGTTGAGAGAAGCAAGTGAACAGTGCAAAATATTTGTAGCAAATAGGGTATTTGGGGGAGGGTGTAAACTGTTAAAAATGAATTTCATTTTTTTTTTCTTTTTTGGAATGCTTTGGGAATGGGAAAACAGTATCTCCCAGTCTTGGCTTCATTCATTTACAACATTTGTTCTTTTTAGTGCCCCAGCAATAAACACGTTGTTTCCTCTTGCTTTGTGATAGGTGCATGCTATGGAAGAATGATGTCATCTGGGAAGCCGGAATGTGATCAGCTTTTCAAAGCCATGTGAAAACTAGCAGCCAGGCAGTTCATTTAGCATTACTCTGTTTTATGAGGGCACAGACTTAGGTTTTTTCAGTACTTGCAAGGTGGAGTGGAGGTTTCCACGTACCAGGGTCTGCTGCCTGGTTTCTCTCCAGCATGACACAGAGTATATTAAGAGCTCCTCTATTTTGTCCCTAAGGCACTTTATTCCATTAGAGGATTGGTGGAGTGGAGCTCTGCCATAATCCCCACACTAAGGTAGCAGGGCTCTATGCCATGTAGTAGTTTGCTTCCACAAGGGAATTCCCTTCTGGCAAATTACAGTCCTAATCTGTGCCATTTAGAATCAGTCTCTTCTCTATTCTCTGAATGAATAGGCATTGTTTTATGTAATGCTTACTTGGTTCAGAGAATTTTTGCAAGAAGTAAGTGTTTTTCAAGGTCAGTTGACATTTGACTTACCTGCATGCTCTCAATTCCATACTACTATGCTTCCTTGTTTTTACTGTTGCCTATCTCTAAGTTTAATGGTGGAAAGAGAAAAGTATGAGGTATGAAGATACTGTACTTTGTTTACATCCTTTTTATGCTCTAGTAACTCCATTTAAGTCTGTAAATGTATGCAGGTGCTAATAGGCTTTCAGGATTGGTGGATTGATTCAGTTGTTCATTTAGTTTTTTCATTTATATTTGCCTGCAGGGGGAGAAAAATCTTTAAAATGCGCAAGGAAGTAAATAGCATGTGTACAAGTGAGCTTTTGTATATGTAGATCACGTGGATAGCTATCCAGAGGTAGATAATACAGTTTACATGCTAAAGCATACATGTGGATAAGTGTGGTTGCAAAATTGCAGGTAACATTTTAGGGTCTATTTTTAAAATACCGCCCCCCCCCCCATAATTTCCCATGTTTTAACCCAGAAATATTATTAGTCCTAATATAATAACTATCTTAAGAATTTGAATTTAATTACCCTACTTAACCCAATGTAACTGAGATCACAGTTCAGTCAGTTACTTCTGAACTTAATCTGATTTTCAGGCTTGCAGCCAGAATTCCTTTCCTTTTTGTTTATGACCAGTTAGGCCAAAGGTAAAAGAGGCAGTTTAAGGCCTTTTATATATTTAGATTTCTGTGCGCAGCTCAGTGGTCCAATTCTTAGATGCACGAGCAGTGCTTAAATGAATAAAACTTTCTGCTTGAAGGAAGTCAATCAACATTTTTCAAAAGGAAAGTTTTGAAATCATGAATATGCTTTCTGTGACTAAAGGGTATGGGTTGTAGCCGTGTTGGTCTAAGGACATAGGCAGACAAGGTTCTTTGGGTAAATATGATATCTTTTATTAGACCAACTCAAATAGTTGGAAAAAAATCTTTTTTTGCAAGCTTTCAGGCACAAACACCCTTCGTCAGGCTGAGGAATTAAATTAAATTAAATTCTGTGATTAAATGTTTATATGTGACATAAAGAATGCAGAAATTAGCATGGTCCCTCCAATTTTTTCCTTCTCTGGGTCTGCATTTGTCAAGTTGATTTTAAAAGAGTAACCATCAATATGAATTTTGAACTGCATTGAGTGGCATTTACATGAAACATAAATCATAGCATCTGCTGCATGGCTTCTAGATGTCTTTGCTCCTCATCTTTGTCATCAGGGATACAGTACAATAAAGGGGCAAAGAGTTAAAGACATTTTATTACAGAATTGACAACAGGAAATTTAGACTTTTTAACATTCAGATGATGGAGGATATTTTGGTGGAATTTTGGATCAAATGTGCCAAATGCACATTAGTTTATCATTTTAATGTACAACTGTGTAGAAGTGTCCTTCACAGATATAAACAAGAAACTGACACAGATGACTGGTTCAGCTGTTTAACTAGGAGCTCATTTCCTCCTTTTGCTTCCTTTTTGTGTGACAAAGAGAATATTATGTCTATAGTAAAATACTGAGCTTTGAAATGCTTGGGGGTGAATATGGAAATGAGTCTACAGAATGGAAAAGACCTAAAAGAAAAATTTTAAAAATCCCCATCACACAGTAAAGTCTTTGCTAGGTCAAGCCGGAGTCCTCAGCACCCCACAGCATAGAGCCCCATATGTGGAAAATCTCTTGCAGTTTCGTCAAGCAGTGCAAAAATGTAGTGGTGTTTCTAAATCAACATACAAATAAAATGTATTGGCTAATAATTTTTGTTCTTGTAACTTGTATTTTGGTGACCCTTTACAGTTAGCTGGGTAGTTTTGATTTTTATAAGGGTTGTAATCTTTGTTATTGTAAGGGCATGGGTATTATTTTGTCTGTATATTATCAGCTGGGTAAGCCTAATGCACGTTAAATGCTTGGATGACAAGGGATCGTGTACGGTATATTGAGTATTTGAGTTGCACCACATACATAATTTCTTTATGGTGCACAGAGAAGTGTGGCATTCGTATGTCCTTGTGTGCTTTCAGAAACGTTTTTCTTGAAAAAAATGCAGTTCCTGTTTTTGAAAAATTAATTTCTATCCACAAATCACTTTTCTGCCAGAGCTAAGAAAAACAGTGGCTCTAATTCTTTATTATTTTCTGTTAGCAGTCTAAGGCAATGGGGCATATTCTTCCAGAACTTTAGTGTTTTCTTTTGATTAGCATGACAGATTTTCCATAATGAATGCTTCATGTGCCGTATGAATCTACATGCCAAAAGAGGTCCTAATGCAAGGTTGAAATCACCCCACAATGTACTTGAATGCTTGCTTGCACTGTAGCAGAGTTTTAAGCAAACTCATGTTCTGTTCTGTTTTGTTCTAATCTGAGCACCATTATAGTAAAATTGTCTGTTGTTTTCAGGTTGATCCCCTGTTTACAGTGCCTGCACCTCCACCTCCGATTTCCAGCAGTATCACACCTCAGATTCTGCCTTCCTACTTTTCCCCATCTTCATCCAATATTGCAGCACCAGTCGAGCAGCTTTTGGTACGGACTCGTTCAGTGGGTGTAAACACTTGTGAAGTTGGAGTAGTAACAGAACCTGAATGCCTTGGACCCTGTGAGCCTGGCACCAGTGTGAACTTGGAGGGAATTGTGTGGCATGAAACCGAAGAAGGTAAACTGCATTTTCCATTCACATCATATATTACATACAAATATTATAGGGTCTCTTGTTCTGTTTGTTTCTGTTGGAGTATTACTTGGAGGTGGTTTGCTAGTCTATTCAGATACTGTCATCTGTAGTGTCAGTCCCAGGTTTATCGATAAGTGGAGAGCGATTCATCTCTTTTAAAGAATCCTGTTAAGGCAGTATGTTTATTGACTTTATACAAGAGCAAAGGATCTTTTTGTCTTAGTGTTGAGCATTATAAATTTATTTTGACCAAACAATTAACTATATCCTATGGTATTCAGTAAAACATAATCTTAAAGATTCACTAGCAGAATAGCAGAAATGTATTACAATAAAACACTTTTGTTTAAATGGGTGTCTTGAGGAACAAGTACGTTATGTGAATGTTTGTGTATGGCACAAATGAACACTAGAGCTGAATTATTCTAGATCTCACATGCTATATTTTGCTATAAAGCTACTATGTAGCAATCTATAAAAATATTCAGGTTTTTGTTGTGAGTTCTGTTTGCATGTTGTTTGTTTCAAACATTTTAAGAAGAAAACACTTCTGAAAGGTGGGCTTTGTTAAAAGAAGAAATGGAAGCTAAATCCAACTAATTTATCTAGAATACTTAGAAAACGGTTAATCAAATAGAGAGGCTGTATACTTCATACTGATTGGTTGGTGATTTGGAAAAAGGTAAACAGAGAAGAAGATGGTGTCATAGGCAAATTTTTCTATTTTGATTTCCAAAACCTCATTATTAAACCATGAATTTCCTGTTGTTGATGAAAAGAACCCTAAAAAAAAATCCTGCGTGTGTACTTCAAACCACTGCTAATTTTGATTATCTAACAATAACAAGGGATCTCCTTAGTTAAAGCTACACAAATATCTCCTTGTGATATTCTATCCTGTTTGTTTTGAGGTGTATTAAACTGTAGTGGTCTAACTTCCTCTGCAATGAAAACCAGATTATTTACAAAACTACATAATGAAAGCATACAACAGTGCATCAGCTGGTGATAAATACCAACATGCTTGAGACATATGCACAACAGCATTTGGTCCTTTGCAATGATATATAAGACCTCACCAAAATGCTCTACACTGTCCTTTGAAAAATCAATATACAGAGTCAGATTTACTTGCTTTTATATTCTCTTATCCATCCATCTTTCTCTCTCTGTAGGTCTACAACAGATTCATAAGGTAGATTGATCCTTTTAGATTGTTTTCAAAGCACAGTATAAATTCTGTTTTAAAATGTCCCGGCAGAGATGACTGCCCTTAGTAGCTTCAGTCTTCACTTGATTGGCCTGCATTAACCAGTGTTGGAATGTGTGGGTGTTAACTCTGGTGACATGAAAGAATAGGAGCTGTTAATAGTGTTATTCTTGCAAAATAAACTAAACTTCTGACCCCACTGAATTTAAGAAGCCCTTCTTGTTAATGGTCTGGACCAAACATAAAGTATGCTGTCAAGGTCCAACACACTGGCAAAGGTAATATTCCATCTGCATTTTTATCAGTGTTCTGGTTTAAAACATGTTGTCATTTAATAAAAATTAACCCCCTGATATTATTAATCTCTTCCCACCCACCCACTAGGAGACTTCTAGAACAACTGGGGAAGCAATGAAAAACTGCTTTAATGACCTTTGAAAACCTTTGCTTCTTAATATAGGCATCCAGATATTACACAAGAGTATTCTAGGTGTAAATAATTACAACAGTAGTTGAAACAGGATTTTAAAATGTTCAGTTTCACCAGTGTAGGTGGAGTAACATTATGTGGAAAAAATCAAGGTAATTGGGTTGATTCTGTCTAAAAGAAATTATCATCCTTAAATGGAGAAATTGCTATGATGTGTGGATATTTTATTACTCTTTCCAAAGGTAGAGAATTACGCATAACTGTGTTATGGAATATTGCCCTAGAAAATAGAGTTTCCATTATGATTTAGCTGAAATTTTGGGGACATATGCATGCATGTATTTACCTGTTTTAAAATTTGCTATTTTTTTCTGAAGATCTGTATAATAGCAAATATGAATCTTTGTGCACTGAATTTTGTTAAAGTCCTTTCATGAATACAAGCTGGCCTCTAATACATGGGTGTTTATCCAGGATAACTTGATTGAAGTTACCCAGAATTTCCAGCAGCATAGCTGAGCTCAGAATCTGGCTGGTTGTTTATCATGATCCGTTGAGATTTGAGTTTCTATTGTAGTCATTGTCCCCATTCCCTTGCTCCCTACCTCTGCCTCAAACATCTCCATGTTCTATCCCCTACCCCGCTTCAAACCCATTAAAAAAAAATAAAATTAAAATGCAAACCGTGGCTTTGCAAGGCCCAGCAGCAGAATTACAACAATCTAAGATGTGAGAATTTCTGACCTTTGTCCAAGTTCTAATATATTTGTTTTATTTTGCATGTGATCTAGCCATTTGGTAAGATGAATCGTTTGGTGATTAGAATGTGCTTGTAGGATGTCTGCATATCCTGTAGCATATGGGAACTATGAACCAAATGTGCGTGCTGAGCAGCTTTCATATGCTGCAATAACTAGCAGCGGGAATGGAAACAGAGGGTATGTGGTAGTTATAGCTATAATGAGAACAGTATAGTGGGTTGAGGGAGAGAGGATTAGATATTTTATTTAGGGTTCGTTACTAAACTGGATGCATGCTTTCATAGAATTAATGTGTACTTGTGAATGAATGTTTTGAACATATCAAGTATTTGAAATAACTGGTTCCTTTTTAGGGTCATTACCCTAATTGTCATATTCTGCTGCATTTATTCTTTTCTTCAGGGTTATAAGGAGGATCATATTGGCTTTTATTTTTCCTGTTTATGAAGTAACGGGTCCAAAAGAAAAAGCATATTGGATTTCAGACAAAAGTGTGGCTGAGTTGTTTTTGTAGTATTTTTTTTTTATTTATCTCAGGTTAATCTATCCAGTCATTTTTGATCAGAAAATTGAATAAACAAGACCATTTTTCCTCAAAGTGTTTCAATTTTAGGCTGTATAATGAGAAGCTGGTATTTGAAGTTTGTCACGTTTTATTATGGGACTTTAAAATTAAACAATTTTATGATTTTACAAATATAATTGTCTGGATATGCTGCTTATCATATGGGCACTTCTCAAATGTGCTGTGTGTTTATTTTTCACGCAGGTACTGTAGGCATTTAGTGTTTTTTATGTGCAGAGCATGCTTTTTTGTCTGGGACTTGGAATTTTTTCAATATGTTATTAATGGTTGCGGAGAAAAAAAGGAGAATGAAAGGACTAGTCGAGGCTACTTTCTAGAAGTGGAATGAAGGAATACTTTATAGGCAAGTCAACCTGAAACTTGGCAGCTGATGTGATATTATAAGCTACCATTCAGCAGTAGTAAAAATCGCTTACATAAAACAGTCTGGTAGTGTTAAAGTGTGTTTTTTGCTTGTTTGTTTTATCTATCACAGGATATTTTCTCTAGAGCATGTGTGTATTTTGAAATTTAGAAATACAATTAATCAGGTACTTGCTAAATTAAGTCATCTGCTTGTAAAATGGTTATAGAGTGCATAAATGTAATAGACTGCTTAGATTGAACAATGGGTTTGAAAAGGGATAACCACTGAGGAACTTTCAAAAGTACGTAGACATTGCTGCTGGTGTTGTTTGTGATTGTCATTGTTGTTATTATTTTGTTTCTTACACCCAGTTGCCCTGGGTCATGTTAAGGCTTTTGAACTGCATCTAGTAATGGAATCAGTCTTAAGTTGTAAGAAGTACTTGTTATAATGATTTATTAGCTTGAAAACTGCTTGGGAGACCGCCATCAGGCACCTTGCTGCCTTCGAGTGAGAACATATGTGCTGACCGACAGTTAAGCCAGCTAAACTTTTTTAAGTGGACTTAACTGTCAGAGCATACACGTATATGTTGAGCAGAGGCGACTTACACGCAGCACAAGATAATGTACCTCCGAGGTATATTATTTTGAGTTACGTTACTTAAGTCAACATAGCTCGCAAGATAGATGCCACCACACGTGTATGTTTTGACGTGGCTTAAACCAACTTACTTAAGTTAATTTAGTAGTTAAGTCGCCTTAGTAGTTACGTTGACTTAGTATGTGTGTACACACCCTTTGTGTGCAAAACAAGCTGTCAGCTGGTAGTGTTCAAGTTCTCACATTTCTGGATCGACATTCTTCCTTCCCATATAGATTGGATAAATTTGTTGTTGTCATTAGATAATAAATAATAGAGAAATGAATTTATTTTCAAGGTGTTGTGTTACCATCGTTGCCTTTTTTAGAGTTGTTCTAAATATAAGCCCTAAGACTTGGAGGTTTGTTGTTATTTTATTTTGCAGATTCTTATTAGAGAGCTAATTTGATCTGCACTGGAGTCTTCAAAAATTATTCTGGAAACAAATTTGCCATAAGTTTGCAGAAATACACAGAAATTGAGACCCCCCCCCCCGGCCCCTTAATTTACCCCAGTGTGCCTAAATCTGTTATGGGTGGCTTTTCTGAGTTCCCATGTCCATATATTTTGTATGTAAGCATATTTTGAAAACTTATCTACTACATGAGTTCTCTCTGTAGTCCTGTATAGCTTTGGTTTTGCAAACTCTATTTAAAAGAGCACAATCAATTTGAAATATGTTTTTCAACCTATTTAATTTTCCCTCCTTTCACAAACGTTTCTCTCTCTCTCGTATGCAAAACATGTATGGAAAACTCACAAATACAAAGGACCAGTTCACTAGATCATAATGAAGCAGGGGAGCTTACACTGCTGAAAAGAGTATCGAATACAAATAGTAGAAAGAAATGTGTTTTTGTTTCCATGTTTTGTTTTTTGAAGAAGCATAGATTTTTCATGATATTAGACAGAAATATGATTAAGTTACCCATGTTCAGTAATTTCTCAGTGATGTTCAATCCCAAATTATGAAGTATTGCAAGCTTTTCTTGTTCTTACTCATAGTG